GGGGGGGGGGGGGGGGGGGGGGGGGGGGGTGCGCTATCCCAGTGGACTGGAAGGTGATGCCGCCAGATACACAAATTCGAACTGACTCAATCTGATACTTGTGACCTTTTTATTCCAGTAAAAGACTCTGAAAAACACTCGGGAATTGGAAAATTGAATGAAGCCCTCAGAAACCCTTTAATTAAAAAAAAACGTATCTTAAATTTCTGTGGCGACGAGGTATGTTTAGTGGGAAAGAAAGCGTCTTGGTGGTTTCCAGCTTGTATGTATGTCTAGAGACCCTTTCCCCTCGCTTGTGGGCGCGATATCTATCAGAACCGCGCAAAGGTGTAAGCTTCTGCCGTGGACACACGATTTCCTGTCTCCTCTTTCCCTCGGTCTTTCTGGACGTGGGTCCGGCAACGCTAACAAGACAGGGAGGAGCCAGCGACAGCGACAATGGACAGGGACGGGCGGTGGGGTCTTTGACTTTTGCGGTGAGGGGAGGGGAAAGGTAAAATATTTGGAGAGGGGAAGTAGGCGGTGCAAGCCAGCTAAATCATTATTGGCAGGAACACGCCCTTGGGGCTTTATTCTCAGAGAGAGGGGGTAGGTGTGTGAGTGTCTGGAGGGGCGATTGAATCTCTGTCCAACAACACGAAAAGGGAATCCCTCCATACAGACGTCACGTTAACCGAGGAAACACACACCTCGCATCATTTGACGCAAATATCCATTTTTAGGCAACGCGCTACGTCAATGGACGCTACCACCAGCCAAATCTTACTCATAGAGAGAGAGGGAGAGAGAGAGATACAGACCTCACACAAGATCCTTAATGTCACAACTGCTGGTTTACAAATAAGTTCCTTTAAACAAAAAAAAACAATTCTATGGACAGACATGTGAAAACAAAAGGTCAACGTGGAAATAAAGCTTCGAGATGCAGTGGGGAGGGGAGGCTGTGAATTGCTGAATGTCACAGGGAGGGTGGCAGTGTGCAAGAAGCTAGCTCTGGGCTCCCTCCCTCCCAGAGAGTCTGAGAGCGGGCTGGGCGGAACCAAGCAGTTTTGACGTGAATCCTGAGCCGCGGGAGTGCTGGAAATAAAAAGAGCAGAGTTTAATACCAGAACACTGACTCATCAACGCTCGGGCGAGGAGTAAGCAGCAAACCCGGAGACTAATAGAGTGAGGGGAGGGAGGATTGGTGAGGAGAGGAGGTGGGGCGGTGCAAAGGCGAAAAAAAAATTAGTCACTGCGGGGAAAAAAAAGCGATCAGACCCGCTAAAGGGGGGCCGAGAAGTGTGCGAAAAGAAAAAAAAATTGTGACATTTTTTATAAAATATTAATTAAAGTTTCAACTTAGAAAGAGAAGGGTTGGTGTGGAGAGCGAATCCAGGAAGTTTTATGGATTTTTTTTTCTGTTGCAGAGAGGAAGACTTGTTTTAACGCGTGGTGAATGACAGTAGCGTGGAAAAACTGAGGAAAAAAGTTTTTCTTTTTTTAAAGAAAAAGCGGACTTGCAAATTTTTTGTTTGTTTTGTTTATTTTTGGAATTTTATTTCGAGACGTTTGGTTGAAATATTATCGGAGTGACTCTACCTGGGAGAGACTTGACGGTCGGTCCAAGCTTTAAAAAGAAGTGGGAGAGGAGGAAAAGAAACCCCCGTCTTCCTGTGTTCCCGGGGGGGTGGGGGGGGGGGGGGGACCATGTACCAGGAGTATCCAGTGAATTACGATTCATCGTCCCGCAGCAGCTTGTCTCCAGCTCACCAGGACAGTGTGTTCAGCAGCTCGGGCAGCAGTGGCAATTTCAACAGCGCTTCTCAGGTAAGGGCTGGGCTGATTCTTCACGCATACACACTTGTACCCTCCAAAAATCCATTCTGCGTACGAATTTTGGGGTTTTTTTCCCCCACAAAGTTTGCCACTACACTCAGGTTTAATTATTTTGTATTTTTTCACACTATGTTGGAGTTTCCATAACCTGTCGCTGGCCATACCCAGTGATGTCTGGTGTGTGTCTGTGTGAAAGAGTCCTCCTTTCGTTTCCCCCTCCCCTCGCTTGCCCCGGACTCATGGCTTGTGTGTTGCTTCCTGCTCCCAGCCGGCAGTTGTCTGTCAGAGCTGGCGCTCTGTGTTTACCGCACTGTACAGTGGCGAGGCTTGTTAAAGTGCCTGGCGCTAGTGTGATTCACCAGGTTGTTGGAGCGGAGCGGCGTCAGATGGTCTCCTTTCGCCCGCTGTGTGTGTCTGCAGGTCATGTTTGACGTGAAGAAGTGACACTTTTGACATTAATGAGTTGCTTCAGTCAGGGGCTAACGCGGGAAGGAATTTTTCACTTTCTCTCTTTATTTAGTAAATTACAACGCCACGAATCTTACCCCATTCCCTCTCGTCCCCCCCTCTCTCTCTCTGCTCCAACAGTAGCCCCCCCTCCCCAACCCTGTTATTCTTGCTGTTCAGATTTCGTGTCAAACTTGACAAAGGGCAGGGAATGGAATTCAGACGCTATCAGTATTTCCAATATTACACATCCTCGACTTGTCTGAAAACCAGCATTTGGTTTTAACCGGGCTAACCCAAAGTTGGTCCAAATGTCGTTAATAGGAAACAACTTGTGAAGGAAACACCTTTCCAAATATCGGAATGTCTGCCTTCCCATTTAAAAAAAAACTCAAGTCTCTAGTTTAAAAGGACTGTAATTAGATTTGAGGGAAAAGACCATTTCTTTCCCCGATCAGGGAATTCTTCTAAGAATTCTAGGGCGCTGTCATTGTAACTACAGCCTTGATTTCTGGCCGCCCTTATTTGTTTTATGCAATCTTTCACACACGCTGTTCCTGGCTCTAAGGTTGATGAAGAAATGATGAAGAAATTGCGCAAGTCAAGAATTGGCTGGAGTTACAAAATCGGTTTCGTAACTGTGTGTGTGCGTGTTTTCAAAAGAAAAGTCTCCGGACTTTTCTGCTGCAGCGCAGCGGCGGAAATCGTTACCCAGCCTCGGTGCCAACACGGTAAAGTGTAGCGAAGGGGCTTTCACATGTTATCTTTACCTCGCTCCCCCTGCCCTCCCCTTCCCTTCCCTTCCTACGATCCACGAGCCAAAATAAGATTTTTATTTCCCCCCCCCGAAATCTCAATTTCCAAATCCTTTCCGGGTAGCGCTTGGCAGCATTCCTCCTGCTTCTCAGATATGTCCCCGTTCTTAACTGGAATTCCTGTTAATATTTGGTACGGACTGCCTTCATTTGCGGGGTTGGTGCGGTGGAGAGGCGGTTGGGGAGGGGGGGTGCAGTCAGCCCCACCCATACTAGCCGTTCCTGGGCCTCCCAACTTTGCATCCTGCTCCCTGGACTGAGCTCTGTCAGTTGTGTGTTTAAGATGTTGACTTACTGTAAATATAGAGCTACACAGGCAACTCTCTGACCACACCCCACAGCTCCCTCTCCCTCTCCCACCTCCTTCCTTTTTTTCCTACACAGTGGGTGTTTTGTTGGCTCTCACAGCTTGTGGTTTGAAACCATACCGGATTAGAAAATTTCTAGCTTTTATAGCATTTTTTACACATGGAAAATTTCTTGTACCCCTGTGATACATAGTGTACAATCTGTGCATGCTTTATGTCTCCATCTCTCTGGGCTCCAATAGGCGCTATCAGGGGGTCCTTGTGGTCAAGGCTAGCTAGGATTTCTTTCTTTTAAAGTTACATTTTCTTCCAGAATCTCTAACTTTCTGTCTGGATGTTTTGGCCCCACGACCTTGCAGTAACAGATATTGAGCTCACGCCTAAAGAATAATTGATAGGCTTCTATAATACTTGCCAGTTTTCCTCCTTCCAAAGCCATCACAGGAGACCAGGAGGTTGTTCAGCCTATCAGGGTCTGCCCTATCCCCATAGACTAGTGAATGTTTTAAGATGCTTACCCTACTTGCTTTTGAAAGCCACAGTTAAATCTGCCTCCACCACACTCTCAGGCAATGCATTCCAGATCCTAACCACTCGCTGCATTTTTTTTTAAAACCAAAAATATTTTCATATTTCCTTCAGTTCTTTTGCCAAACTCCTTAAATCAGCACCCTGTGTCCACAGAAGGGAAAAGGAACAGTAGAATTTTTATAGTGCAGAACCATCAGCCATCTTGAAATGCTTCAATTAATCTGTCAATTAATCTGCATTGAGGATATTGTTTTGAGGGAGAAATATTGGCCAGGGCACCAGAGAAAACTGCACTATTCTATTGAAATAGTGTCCTGAGATCTGAGAGGGCTGCTTGGCTTAAAGTTTCATCCTAAAGTCAGGCTGGCCTGCCACCAATTGTCAACTCCCAAAGTGGGTGGATCAGGGAATGGGATTAAGGTTTAAATGCTAATAACCATAATCTCTGCATCACAAAATGTTTGAGGGGATGGGTCTGTAATGAGGGAAAGAAGCACTCTGGAGGAATGGGGAGGGATCGCCAGCAGCATAGGTGGTTGGTGGAAGGATTTGGCTTTTCAATGAGACATATCCAGATTCCATTTGGGAATGTCAAGCGCACTCACACAACAAAGTGTATTATGTTATAAATGTGGGCATTTTCCCCTTGCAGAAATATTTGCATCATCTATAACTACGGGTGAGGTGCCTGATGACTGGATGGTGACTAAGACACCGGAGAAACGGGGAACTGACTTTGGTTGTGGGTAAATTGTTGGAGGTGATTTTAAAGATAAGATTAATGGATATGTAGTGGGGCAAAAATTGATTAGGGATAGTCAGCATGATTTTGTGAGAAGAAAATCATGTCTCACAAACTTGATTGAGCTTTTTGAGGAAGTTACCAAAAAGATTGATGATACCAGAACAGTAGATGTTGTTTACTTGGACTTTAGTAAAGCCTTTGGCAAGGTTCCGCATGGTAGACTAATTAGTAAAGTTAGGTCACATGGGATTCAGGGTGAGCTTGCCAATTGGATACATAATTGGCTTAACAGCAGGAGATAGAGGGTAATGGTGGAGGGTTGCTTTTCAAGCTGGAGGCCTGTGACCAGGGATCGGTTCTGGGTCCTCTTTTGTTTGTCATTTATGCAAATGATTTGGATGAGAATATAGAAGACATGGTCAGTAAGTTTGCAGACGACACCAAAATTGGTGGCATTGTAGACAGTAAAGAAGGTTTTCTGAGATTACAAAGGGATCTTGATCAAATAGGTCAATGGGCTGAAAAATGGCAGATTGAGTTCAATCTGGATAAATGCGAGGCATTGCATTTTGGTACAACGAACAAGGGTAGGGCTTATACAGTGAATGGTAGGACTTTGGGTAGTGTTGTAGAACAGAGGGACCAAGGTGTTTGGGTGCATAATTCTTCGAAGTTTGCTTCACATATAGGCAGGATGGTTAAAAGGCATTTGGCATGCTTGCCTTCATTGCTCAGTTCTTTTGAGTATAGGAGTTGGCACGTTATGTTGAGGATGTACAGGACATTGGAGAGGCCTCTTCTGGAATACTGTGTCCAGTTCTGGTTGCCCAGTTATAGGAAGGATATTATCAAGCTGGAGAGGGTTCAGAAGAGATTTACCAGCATATTGCCGGGTATGGAAGGTTTGTGTTATAAGGAAAGGCTGGATAGGCTGGGACTTTTTTCACTGGAGCATTGGAGGTTGAGAGGTGACCTGATAGAAGTTTATAAAATAATGAGGGGTATTGATAGAGTTCATGGTAGTTGTCTTTTCCCTAAGACTAGGGGGCACATTTTTAAGGTGAGAGAAGAGAGACTTTTTAAGACATTAGAGGCAAATTGTTTTACATGGAGGGCTGTTTGTGTGTGGAATGAACTTCCTGAGGAAGTGGTGGATGCGGGTAGAATTACAACACTTAAAAAAAATTTGGATGGATATATGAATAAGAAAGGTTTGGAGGGATATGGGCCAGGAGCAGACAGGTGGAACTAGGTTAGTTTGGGATTATGGTCAGCATGGACTGGTTGGACCGAAGGGTCTGTTTCCATGCTGTATGACTCTGTGACTCTATCTGGTAACCCTAATTGTCAGGTATTGTTAGAATTTCATGGGATGTGATTGCCAAGATCAAGACCAGCCTTTATTGCCCTGCTGTGACTGACCATCTGAGATGTACTTCTGATAATGATTTAAAGGCAGGATTGTGTTATAGCTTGTTCCTTAGTTGCAACCATTAACAGACTAATTAATTTATGCTTTTTTTTTGCAACTATATTCTGGTCTTTTTGCACATTGAGCCTTGGGACTGTACTTCTCTTTGAGTTGCACAAATAAGGAATGCAAGCTATAGCTACTAGCTCCATGCCAAATAAACCAATATAATAAGGCTCTCACCCCAAGATGCCTCAGCAATTCTCTTTAGGTTATGCAAGTTGAAGCACAGTACTAAAGATATATATGGTCAAATCAGTCCTGGCAAATTATATTACATAATATTGACTGCCATACCTTTATATACCATAGACACATGTCTGTGTGTGCGTACAAGTGATGCATATTTAATACTGATTTTGCTGCAACTCAGTTTCTTGACATTGAAATATTGTTGGGCTCTTGTGTGCAGTTTGTTTATAGGCATTTTTCAATGAATAGATCAACTACAATGTCTACAAAAAATATTAACCTGTTCCAGTTTTATCAGCCCATGAAAATAATGAAATATGTTCCATATCCCTAGTGATCCTGTGTTTATAGTTCAGTGAGATGATGGCCACAACAAACCACAGAAAGGCAGGAACTAGCCATTAACTTTAGTTTCCTGGTGTGTGCCTTATATGCATTGCCATAGATAAGCTCCATCATTTTCTTTGAAAGACAACATCCATGATGGTAACGATACCTCCCATACTCTGGTCACATTCACTTCATAACCAATGTCTGCTTTGAGTAATAGGTGCCTCGATCTTTTTCAAAAGAAAGGTTCATAGTCTGAAAGTTAAATTAAACCTTCTCTTCTATTTCGCAAGAACAATATTTCTTTCAGAAATAATCCTGACTCGGACATATATCATTATTCTTTCATCATTGCCATTGCAAATCGCTGTCTAACTGAGGAAGTTTAATCAGCACAAAGCTTCAGTGGTTATAGGAGGTGGACCACCAACTGGAGATAGGCAACAAATGTGGGATTGCTTGTGTCTATAGAAATATTTGACAAGAGAAGGATTGAGGGTGAAGGAGTTTGAGATATGATGATGTATAATATGAATGCCAGTCTCTTGCCAATTAATCAAAGTTCCGATTCCTAGTGTGAGGAGGTCACTTCAGATCCACTGTACATAGCAGTTACATGAAATCTACTTGACTGAGGTATACCAGAGCAGCAGAATGCAATTCTTTCATCCTTTCACACAGCCCCAGTTAAAACTGGGACTATTTCTTCATTGGACCTCTAGTAGAATCCTATTCCTCCATTACAGCCACCAAGATAACTCTTAAAAGCACGTTGGTTGTAAATTTCAAAATAGCTTCTCCACTTGGCCTTTCTTGAGTCAATACAATCCAGCAGCTGGCTGCTTCTTTCCACAGAATGATAAAACCGATGGAAAGTTCCAGAAGAGTTGAAATTTGAACATGTGATTTGTGTAACATGAATTTCAATTCCATCTTGGCAGTTCACAACTTTGGAATTTAAAAAAAAAGTCACAATAAAAAATACTGGATAAAAAGAAGCTGTTGGATCATAACAAAACTAATGTCCTTTAGGGAAGGAAATCTGCTGTCCTTGCTCTGTTTTTTTTCTCTGTCTGACTAAAGTCTGATATAGGCCAATGTACTTGACTTTTGGTGAAGTCACTAATGTGACTGCTGAGTTGTACTTGGGACGGTTAACAGCTATTGATCAACACTCACATTTAGGTTTGGATATGAAGAATAGCACTTGGATCAGATCTGTCTGTTCTACAGTCTGAGGGTCCACAGGCCCTGGAAACTCCAGCCGATTGGGAATTATTTTATGCTCACTGGTTTGTCCCCTTTTGAACTTTGTAGACCTGGTTATTTGCAAAGGCTTGCTGCCTCATTGGTGGATGGAACCAAAATCAGAATCTCAAGATGTGCTAACATCAGCAGTTATTCCCGTCAATCTGTAGACGTGGAGTCTCTGTCAAGACCAGCAATCATTGCACATTCCTAATTGGCCTTATACAGTCGAGTACCTCTTCAAAGAATATCTAAGACCCGGAATCACTTAACAAAAACAAAGTTGCTGGAAAAGCTCAGCAGGTCTGGCAGCATCTGTGAAGGAAAAAACAAGAGATAACGTTTCGGGTCCGGTGACCCTTCCTCAGAACCGGAATCACTTAAGTCAGACTGGGCAAAATAATGTTTGTCATGAAAATTATTAAAGCATTTATGTTTTTCCAATCAACTATCAGCTTCTTCGTTTTGTTTTAAAACCGGTTCCAGTTTCTTATTTCGTTATATTTTAAACTGCGTTAAAATCTTCTACCTGCCACACTGAGATTTGAACTCATGTCTTCCCTGGATTTTTATCACAGCCCTCCTAGAGTTCTGGACGAATATCAGCATCAGTATGTTAAAGTTTTAGATGTCTACAAATCAATGATAAGGAGGGATGGGGGGTGCGGAGAAAACTGAGAACAAGGTATGATTTCTGGCATTACAAGTTTGAGTGTAAATTGCTATGGGACTTCCTAAAGTTCTGAAAGTCGCAATATAAATGCAATTTATTTTTAACTTGAGCAGGTGTTGGCCTCAGTGGTTACGATGATGGTGCTTACAGTTAGACTTTTCAAAGCAGCACTGATAGCTTTAGAAACTAGAAATGGTTGCCTCTATCTGCAAAAAAAATCCCATGACACTTGCAAGACGTTTATGAATGAAATATTGATTTTAACATCGTGGGATTGCAGCACAAGCACTTATTGGCTTTGTTCCTTTTCCTTTGCAACTTCTTTTACTTAGAAATACCGATCCGACATGCCAGGATCCAGCAGTGCCTTTGTCCCGACAATCACAGCCATTACCACCAGCCAGGACTTGCAGTGGATGGTACAGCCCACAGTTATAACCTCAATGTCTAGCCCTTACTCCCGGACACACCCTTACAGTCTGTCGGCAGCCAGCATCTCGTCTCCTTCCTCCACTACTTTACACCGACCTGGGGTTATCAAAACCATCGGAGCAACAGGACGAAGGAAAAGAGATGAACAGGTGAGAGATTGCAACTGCGTGTGTCTTCTGAGATTTTTTTTATAAATAAAGAATCCTCAGCCCCTTTCACTTCGCCATCTGAAGTCTGCTCAATTTCCTGTTCTTCGTAGACTTAATAATCATTTTGTTCCCTTTGATCTCAATCCTCAAAATTTTCATATGAATCACCTTGTGATAAATCTTGGGTGGGAAACATAGAATTCTCTCTGGTTTACCATCCTGGCCATTATCTAAGGGAGATGGTGACTGATCATAGCCATCATTGTCTTGGTAAATAATGTACAACAGACCCAACCAGAGAATGAGGAAACTCCCAGTGGTGGACAGCTGTGAGAACATTAGCTGCAAAAGTCCTTTGATCTCCCTCCTTCCACTGGTCTTTCAGAAAATATTTCAACTTGAAGGACATTAGTAAAAATAACACCTTCACTTCCAAACGTTCCTGACAAATTATTACAAGGAGCTTTTGGCAACCTCCATCCTTAAGACTCTTGTTACCCAGCTCACACCTTTTGCATTAAGCTCCTCTGAAAAGTTCACTTTTGTGCAGAATTAAGAATTTTTTTGTTCTACTATTATGTATCAAGATGGTGATGGGAGTGGGGAATTGGGTGTGGCACCTGAAGTACATTGAGAGGGCAGACTGGAGCCACGTGTCATCTTGCAGGTTGAAGAATCTCCACTTCCACCACAAAGTGTGTCCTGTGACAGCTCTTTAACTGGGTGCAATTTCTTTAGTCCACCCTTCTTGCTCTTTCCCGTTATACAATTCTTTATTTATCTAATTCCCTTTAAATTTATGTTCCGGTCTCTGCCTGTTCCATATTCCAACAATCATCTACTTGAGGGGGGGATAAAAAGAAATGCCTTTCTTGTTCACCTTCCTTCTGATGAAATTTCTCCCTTTTTTTAACAAAAAAGAATCTATTTCTCTGCCCCCTCCATTTTTAATGGGTGTTGCATTGCTGGCAATGTCAGGTTTTATTGCCATCTCCTATTGTCCTGGAGAAAGACACTCATTAGCAACACCCTCACCTTAGAATCAATAAAGAAAGGAAACCTGCATCTGGTCTTGGCTTGTTAGTGACAAATTTTTCACAATTTATCTTGTCAAAACCTGTTGTCACTTTGAAATGCTTCATTTGATGCCTTCTCCATTATCTCTGTTCCTGTCAAGAAAGCCTACCTCCACCAATTCCCCATCAATTTCAACCATTTTCTACATAACCTCTGGCATCTGTCTTAAATCCTCATCTCTGGCTTAACTATTTTTCTATATATGGGATGCTCAGAGCTGCGTATAATTTCCATCTTGCCACATGCACAAATTCAACATTACTTCCCTGCTTTTATAATCCGAGTACCTATGTTGACGTGAATAATGCTATTTTACTTTCTTAAATTCGGCTTGCAAATACATACATGTTTAGTAAAGGAAGGCCATAATATATGGGTGTACAATTAAACGGAACCACAGGTAGTTCGATGCATGTCCCATTGGAATCAGCACGGGACAGGTTTCTGTAATTGAGTCACATCACTTGCATTACATTTTGTTATGAATTGTAATTTGACCTGTTGTAAGGGACTAGCACAGCCAGTGTACATTATAATAAATTTTATAGGGAGTATCATACTTTGTATATCTTCCTAGCTATCCACCAAAAACGCATTATTAAACTGTAAACACTTGTTGTTGTTTAAGAACCTTGGGGCATTTTAATACACTGAAATTGCTTTCTGAATCTGTAATTGAATCTAGGATATATACATAATATATATTTTTGACATAGCAGTTTGCCACTGAAGATGCTTAAAGCCAAGAGAATAAATCATAATAACAGAAAGTGCAGATTCTGTGCAAAATTTTTAATATTTAAATAATGCCCACTTTGTGCATTATATCGAATAAGATACACTGCACGTTGTAGAGAGTAACGTAGATTGTCTATGCTGTTATATTAAAAGGAACATCATAGACTGTGTGAATCACTGCCTCTGAGCATGAGTGAATAACAGCCAGTAAACATTAAAGACAGTTACACAATGTGTTTGCCATTTTGATGTGCTTACGGAATGTTATAGTACATAACAATCTCGGTACATATTATAGATAATTGCACACTTTGGGTGTTAATCATACAGTGCCTTTCTGCTGTAAATCACAGCAAAAAGAACACAGCCTGTTGATTGCGACAGAATAGCACAGTGTAATTGAGAAGTAGCAATAAAGTTGGTGCTGTGTTTAGGGTGAAGGCATGTAGGAGGGTTGAGTTAAGTAGTTTAAAACTTTGAGCTCCTGAAAGAGACTAAATTGGAAGTGTGAGCCAGGGGATTAACAGGAGGCAAAAGTACTTGTCTGTGTCTCTGGCTGGTTGTGTATGTGCTAAGGCCCATTCCTAACCAGGTGGGCAGATTGCTACATTGAGGTGCCCATCATGCCCAGTCATTTGAGGTTTGCCTGGCATGAGACACTGCTCATGTAACACCCATGACAATGTGACTGACAGGAATGAAAGAGATTTATCTGGCATTGCCTCACAGTTGCGTTGAAAGAAAAAGCTCGACCTTTCACACCCTCTGGAGAGTGTTTCACAGCCAATTAGTCACATTTTTGAAGTTTGGTTATTTTTCAGTTGGCAAAAATGATTCACGGAGGAAGTTTCTTACTAATATAGGCCTGGGATTGGTAGTGTTGGAGAAATTAAACGATATGATACTTTAAAAAAAAGGAAACCACAATAATTTTATTTTGCCACCCTGAGGGAGAAATCTTTCAATGATTGAACCTTGTAGAATTTTATGAAATGTTCTAATGGGTGTTTCTTGGGATTGTAAGTGTTTTTTTTTCTGATTGTGAAGTCTTGAAGAACTGAGAGCTGTGGGTCATGATATTTTGACCTTTGCATGTCATGAGGCACTCAGTAGTAACTAGGCGATGGCATGCCTAGGTTTTTAAACGCTCAAGTTATAGGATGCAGGAAGAGATTGAAGAAGATTAGGAGTTTTGTGGTTTCAGGAAGGAATGAAAAGTAGGCGACTGGTTAAACAAAAACAAATGTGTGTTTGTTTGTTTTTCAGTTTTGCAGCTTGTTGCAAAAAATGGTTCATTCTGGAGTCCATCTGTTATATCTTCTGCTAAGTCACAAGATGAATAATTCTAGTGGGATCTTTCTAACAATTCTGCATTCCTATTTCCCGTTCTAATCACACAATCCTCTGCTACTTAAACTATCTGATCATTATTGCCTGTTTGAACATTTGTTGCGTTGATGGTCTATCTCTTTTGTAAAGAAGTGGTACCTGGAATCACCCCAAAATCCCCTCTTTATTTGGCTCAAATGTTGCCTATTGACCCACTCTCTCACAAATATATTTTTGCCATCATCCACTAATGGGCAGTTTCAGGTGTGATGCCTGATTTTTTTTTATATATAGAATCCCTACAGTGTGGAAACAGGCCCTTCAGCCCAACAAGTCCACACTGACCCTCAGAGTATCCCACCCAGACCCATCCCCCTATAACCCACCTAATCTACACATCCCTGAACACTACAGGCAATTTTTTCAGCATGGCCAATCCACTTAACCTGCACATCTTTGGACTGTGGGAGGAAACCCATGCTGACACAGGGAGAATGTGCAAACTCCACACACAGTTGCCCATGGCTGGAATCGAGCCTGGGTCCCTGGTGCTATGAGGCAGCAGTGCTAACCTCTGATCCACCGTGCCACCCAACTTATTTGGCAGTCAGCTCAACTGGTATTAAAGCAAAGTGAATAGTTATCCTGAACCTGCTTGTTTCTGTCTGAGTGCCCATATTGACAAGAAGGGTGACCTTATCATCCTAATTATTGTGTAAGGCTCAGTACCACAATTCTGTTATTGTTGAGCTGAATGAGACTGATTCAGCCCTATTAAGGACAATTGACACCTACCATCAGTTTACTTCTTCCCACTTGTCTCCTGTGTTAAACTCCTTAATATGCACCGTATGATATCAATTGAAGCTCTTCTGCTGTGTTGGCCATCTCACTCTCAACTAGCACGCGTTGTATTCGAGTTGTCTAAATGGTTATAATTCACCCACGTGCTGCCAAGGAGAGAACACAAACAGTCCTCCTTGCCTTTGTCAGATTTTAAGAAAAGTCTGTGTTGTCCTACAGTGTATTGGAGCCAATTAAACACAATTCTGGTGGCCATGTAGGAAATGTATTGACTAACTTGTGCAGTGAAGACAGCTGTAACTGTGATCTTGGGTTCATGTTGTGCTACATGTGAGCCCACCACACTGTTCTGTATCCGTAAAACCTTCCTTAATGTCCTGTTTTGACGCCATCACCTTAATAAATTTTGATCCCTCTACCCTAATTAGTTTGTACAGTTTTGGATTACTTATTACTTTGGCAACACCCCTGGCGTGTGATTCTTATGCCTTCCATGTCATTCCAGTCATTTGGTTTGTCTCCAGCACCACCTTATTTTAAAATTTTTGTAATTATCTCTCTGCCTCATTTAATTGGATTACAGGTAATTCCTTTGCTTATTATTCAGCTGTTGACACTTTATTCACACCATCTGACACTTTGGATCACCTGCAGAGACTTATTATTCAACACTGCACTCATATCATTTGTACGATCTTTTGATCTCTCTGCCCTTGATCTCTCTGCCTATTAATTCTGTGTCTGTGTGCTTCCCTTTCACTTCACCAGATGAAGGGGCTAAGCTCTGAAAGCTTGTGATTCCAAATAAACCTGTTGGATTATAACCTGGTGTTGTGTGACTTCTGACTTCGTTCACCTCAGTCCAAAACCGACACCTCCACATTTGTATTCTTTTTTGGTTTCAATGTTGACAGGACACACAGGGGCTACCTCTGCTGTTCTTTCAAATAGTGAGCCTTGGGGTCATTTATGTCCACCGTAGAGGTCCGGCAGGGCTTACCACATTAGAGCGTTAGGGACAGAACACAACCAAGGAAGCAACCCTCTGTCCCTCATTTTAAATCCAACTCATCTTGTTCGATCGACAGCAGGCAGTGGAGGCGCTGAAAGTCAAGTCCCTGTCCTGCTCAAACATAGCCCAGAGCTGGCCCCCTGTATTTAAACCTGCTGCATTGGTGTGGCTTCACCAGAGAACTGCACAGTCAGATAGTTAAGTTGGAGACATTTGCCTCTGTCCCCTGTTTTACATTGAGGCTGAATTCTGTGGGATAAATACAATGAGAAAAGTTGCAAGAAAAGGGGGCGTGAGAAAGTAATTGTCATTCGCTTGACTTTTTTTTTCCTTTGTTTTGTGCCGTAATTTTTAATTTCCTTTTTTTGTATAAAAAATATTGTCCTTTTTATTCCCGTCTCACCCCGTTCCCTCCCTCCCCCTCCTTCTGTTTAGATTTTCCACTGCCGCCTGCCACTGCCGTTTCTCCATTCGACACAGCAGCATGACCTGGGCCGTGGGCTTCTCGACGGCCACCGTCAGAGCTGCTCCTTGAGTGACCACAAGCTGCCATGTTACTGCAGGGTAGGTCTGCTCCTGCCACCTTCCCCTGGCCACCTGATGGGACTGCTCAGTCTTTGTGGGCTGGCCCAACTAGCGTGTCTCTTTAACACTTCTCGTCCGTCGTCGTCTTCGTTTTTTTTTGCTCCTCTCACATTTACGTCCCATTTCGATTTTCTTGATTTGGGAATTTAATGCCGGGAGGCGCTTTGTGCGGCGTTTGCTAGTGTTCCCCATTGGGAGTGTTGTAACTGTGGGTTTCGGGCTAACATATTTGTTTATTCGGCCTCGTTTTTCATCCCCCCCACCCCTCCCACCTCGCTTTTTAAGCTTGCAAGCCCCTAAATCCACAACAGGCCACTGTATCAGTCAGTGGTTGTGACTGTGCTCTCCTGGTCTGTACGTGTGGGTTTGTAGTTAGCCTTCACAGTAACTCTGGTCTCCGTAAATCCCCTTATTCGTCCCCTTGCTCACTGGTCTGGTCTCTGGCTGGCTCGCACACTGGCCCTCTGGCTCACACTAGCCCCCTGGCTTTCACAGGCAGTTCCTCTGGCTCACACTGGCCCCCTGGCTTGCACATGCAGTCCCTCTGGCTCACACACTGGTCCTCTGGCTCACACTGGCCCCCTGGTTTGCACAGGCAGTCCCTCTGGCTCACACACTGGCCCCCTGGCTTGCACATGCAGTCCCTCTGGCTCGCACACTGGTCCTCTGGCTCACGCTGGCCCCCTGGTTTGCACAGGCAGTCCCTCTGGTTCACACACTGGCCCTCTGGCTCACACTGGCCCCCTGGCTTGCACATGCAGTCCCTCTGGCTCGCACACAGGTCCCTCTGCCTTTATCCATCCCCACCTCTGGTTTCCTTACCCCCTTCCTGTTTCCACTTGGCTGTGTGAGAATCTACAGCGTTCATTTCTTTCTCTGTCAGCGTTCATATCTTTCTTTGTCTCCTGCTAATTTTTTGCTGTGGCCCCCCCATAGCTCTGCACATGCTTCCATTCCGATTATTGCCCAATTCTACCTCCCGGGGGACCCTCTTGTGACACAGTGGTACTGTCCGTGCCCCTGGACCCGGAGGCCTGGGTTCAGGTTCCATTTGCTCCAGTGGTGTACAATAACATCCCTGCACAGGCTGGTGAGGAAATAGGTTAAATTAAAGTAAAATGCACCCACCCACTGCCCTTTCAGACAGAGCATTCCAGATCACAACCACTCGCTGCATCATTTTGCGACATTATTGTCTCTGGCTCTTTTCTGTACTTTTTAAAGCTGGCTTCTCAGGCTGCTGGGAGGAATCAGTGTCTGCTTGATTTTATTCTGCTAATTCTTCCCCGTCTATCCCAGTGCAGGCATGTTAGACAATCCTGTCCTCGTTTCTGCAGTGGAAAACCCTATCCAAAACCTCACCTCTACACTGACCCCTGACTGTGCAGAAGCTCTCAATTGGATAAATCTAGAAATGCCCACACGTGTTCCCAGACCTGGCAGCTTCACTGAAACACTGACTGAGCCCAGATGTTCATATCTGTTTTCATTACCCAGTCGAAACTGTTATCTTTCTCCCTCTTCCCAAACCACATCAGATATGTGCTGTTTAAAATCTTTATATTTATTAAATTCATATGAAAATACAGAGATCAATGGCCATCACTAAACCAACTGTGCTTCTTGTGCTGTGATCGTGATTTGCACCACCAGGCTATTTGAATGTGTGTGTTTTTTGTGTGTGTGTGTGTATGTACACGTGTGTATTTGTATGGTGTATATGTGCTTATGTGTGGCGCGTGTGTGTATGTGTAGTCAGTCAAATCCTACAATTCATGTCAGTATCTGTGGGCTGAGGTACGGAAAATAAAAGGTGTCTGTTCTGGTGATGCCTCCTGGGAAACATGTGCATGTGTGTTGAGTCACAGCCGAATCATCATTTTGTTTTACATAAACACCATAAAGTCCTTTTTCTGGCCATCCTGCATGGAACCCCAGCACTTATTTGGGAGCTGTTGTCATCCCGGAACCTGATTCCAGTCTGAGGCAGCGTTTACAGGGCGAGTGGGGTAGAGATGGAGGCTGCAAATGGCAAAGGGTTTGTTCCCACATTAACCACTTATTGGAATCACAGTCCCAGATCAGCCTTAAAGAGTGACATTGATGAGTGACTGTACATTTCTACATGGAGCTCATTTCTTCACATCGACATCAGCTGGTATTCTGTCATGTTTAACAGCTGAATTGTGCTCTGGTACTCCCTTCTCTGAGTGTTAACGCAGTGGTCTGCCGCTCTCTTTGTAACTGCAGACAGGTTATGAATCAAGAGTGTGCCCATTATTGAATCAGTTTCAGTGGAATTTGTCCGATGATTGTAGGTTGGATCTGTGCAAAGGCTTCAATGTCACACCAGGTCTCGAGAGTGTGGGACTTTCCAGTGCAATTCTGAGAGAGAACTAACTTGTCATGTCAGAGATAGTAGGAACTGCAGATGCTGGAGAATCCGAGACAACAAGGTGCAGGGCTGGATGAACACACCTATCCTCTCCTCTATCCCTCTTCTATCCGCCTCCCACTCTCTCCCTATTTATTTCAAAACTCCCTTCCCCTCCCCCTTTCCTGATGAAGGATCTAGGCCCGAAACGTCAACTTGTCAGAGATGTAGGTGAAATGGGCTTGAAAAGAGTTCTTTTAGCCAAAAGTGACCTGAGTGCAGAAAGCTACATAAATGCAGGAACCTTGAATGTGAGTGAACACTGGTTGACATCTTTAGTGGGCCTGTTTTTCCTTCATTCATTCATGAGATGAGGGTGTTTCTGGCTAGGTCAGCATTTATTGCCCAAAGGGCAGTTCAGAGTCAACCACATTGATGTGGGTCTGAAGTCACATGTAGGCCAGACCAGGTAAGGATAGCAGTTTCCTTCTCTGAAGAGCATTAGTGAACCAGATGGGTTTTTGTGACAATCAACAACAGATTCACGGTCATCATTAGATTCCTAATTAGACTCCAGACATTTATTGAATTCAAACTTCACCTTCCGTGTGATTCGAACCCAGGCCCCTGGCACATGATCTGAGTTTCCTGGATTAACAGTTCAGCGATAATACCACTAGGCCGTTGCCTTCCCATCTGTTGTTGGCCAATATTTGGTTAGAGCTGCCACTGGTAGGAGAACCCATCCACTGTCATGTTCACTCACTGAGCACTAATCCTGATGCTAATGCCGGTTCTTAATTCTTTGAGCAGCTCACTCCAGAGGAAGAAGAGAAGAGAAGAGTACGGCGAGAAAGAAACAAGTTGGCGGCTGCAAAATGTCGGAACAGGCGCCGTGAGCTTACAGAGAGACTTCAAGACGTAAGTGCAATGGGATATAACTGTCAAACCTCAGTCTGTTAAACCCAGAGAACACCCACAATTGTCCTGAATCTCCAGGAACAAGAGTGGAAGATTCCACAGATGATAAACTAAGTTGTCTTTCTTATTTTTGGTCCATTTACTTTCAATGTGTTTGTTAATTATTTTATAAACAATTCTGTGTTGAAGAGGGGCTGCTTGCTGATGGTCAAGGTCCATCCAATTGGGTGTCTTGAGCTTTGTAACTTGCCAATTGATGCAAAGAGCCTGTGTAGTCAGGGTGGAGGGGTCAGGCTCCAATTGCTGGGAGTGTGAGGGGAGAGAAGTGGGAGCTCGAGGGGAACCTCCTGAAATACAGTCTCGCCCTGCCACTGAAATCAGCGTGCTAACTGCAACTGCTCAATCTGTTAATCCATCATTAGGTGAGAGCGAGGTGACAGACTGCACCTCCTGTGAACCAAGGCGGTTCCATTCAATGGATAATCTGCAGCACAGGCAGAGGCTGTTTATTTCAACACATACTTACATTCCCCAATGCAGTTGCATGGGTACTGTGTACAGTCATGTGTTGTTTGGCTGGTACTGATGTGGTTTGGAGTACACTGATTCAGGCATACAAATGTAGTTTGGGATACATTGAACCAGGTGAAGAGATGTGGTTTGGGATATACTCCAGGGGTACAGGCAGCTCGGGGTGTACTGAACCGCAGGTACAGGCGGCTGGGGTGTACTGATCTAGTTGTACTTTGCCAGTCCACCTTCTACTCTCTGCTCTGCATTAGCCAGATGGTCATCCCACTTTAAGGTTGAAATATTGTAAAGGCCTAATGGTCAGAATCTCCGCACTCCGCCAGGATGATTGAGACCAGAATATGTTTGAGCTCACTAGCGTATTGATGCCACAAAAGCTTTTATGTCTTCTAAAGCAACATGTAGGATCTTGCAAAGAAAACATCTGTGCCAGAAGCGGGTCAACCTGCAAAGAACAACATCGAGAGAAACAGATCCATGCATTGTTTAGCGCAAGCAAGCAGAAACTTGCTGGTTGTGAGACAAGCCTTTCTCACGTCCTTGCCTGTATGTTATCGTTTCTTAAGGCCCCTCACTCTTTTTTTTCCCAAAGATCCTAAGACTGTATACTGTGAAAACGTTGTTATCGCCATTCCCACCACATTAACAATTGGCAATATGCCTCTTGGAAAATTCAATAAATACCCCAAAGCCAGAATATTGTCTTCCTGCCTCATTTTTTATGTAGTATTTGTCATTTTAAAGCTAATCTCAAATGCATTGGAGTCTGCAGGTTCTCCCCCCTCTTCCCAGTCCACCTCAAATCCAAGGGTGGAGTGGAGCTGGGTTGGAGGGATGAATGGGACAAGGGCGTGGGTAAATGAAGGAAAACTAGATTGATATAGGTGACAAATCTTTCTCCCAAGCTGCTGCTTAGGCCACATGACACTCTGGTTCCCTTGGCTGCTCCCAGCCAGTCTTACTTCTGCTGGGATCCTCAATTGAGCCCCTCTGACACAAGTGTAGACTTTCAGCCCATGAAAGCCAACCTATTTGTGAGTCTTTATTTATTTAAGACTTTAGTTTTGTTCTTTAAAGACGGAGGCGTGGCAGGGTACCTTGGGCTGGTGGAGTCCATGTTGTGTTATACCTTGGAACTGCAGGACTGTGCTGGATAACAGTGCTGGGGAGGCGATGGCCTAGTGGTATTATTGCTGGCTGGACTGTTAATCCAGAGACCCAGGTAATGTTCTGGGGACCCAGGTTCGAATCCTGCCATGGCAAATGGTGGAATTTGAATTCGATAAAAATCTGGAATTAAGAGCTTGATGATGATGACGACCACAAAACCGTTATCAATTGTCAGGAAAACCCATCTGGTTTGCCAATGTCCTTTAGGGGAAGGAAGCTGCTATCCTTACCTGGTCTTGCCTACAGTAATGTGGTAGTTTCCTAACTGGCCTCTGCGCAATAAATGCTGGCCTAGCCAGAGACGCCCTCATCCCATGAGTGAATTAAAAAAAAACACAGGTTTGTGGGCAGAGTCAGTGAGAATGAGTCACGGGGAAAGATGATGTGGAATGTATAGGAGGCTCCTAATTGTAGTTCACTCTCCGATCTACATCACTGGTGCAACGGGTGATTCATCTCAACTGTGCAGCTGGAATTCAGCCCTCAATATCACGAATGGCTCATGTGGGGCACAGAAAGAAAATGCTTTATGAAGCCCAGGTTTGACAGCTCAGGGAACAGGTAGGCATTTCTGGGGCTGCTCCAGGATATGTCACTTCCGTGGTGCCAGAGTCACAGTGTCACTGACATGGCCCACGTTGTACCAATGGCAGCAGTAGGGGCGAAGGCAAACTTTAGTGAACTGAGAGGGAGAGCAGCAACCTAAAGGTCATTATCTCCAAGTGAGCATAGAATATGAGGATTAAGTAGATGATGGGGAGTGTAGCAGCAAGGTGAGCTAGGAGCAACTGCCCTTGATATCAAGGCAGCATTTAACAGAGAATGGCATCCATGAGCTCTAACTTGAGATATTAGGAATCAAGAGGAAATCTCTCCACTGCTTGGAGTTGGAGCACAGAGGAAGGTGGCTTTGGTCATGGGAAGTCCGTCAACTCAGTCCCGGGACATTGCAGAAAAAATTATTACAAAGTTCCTCAGGATTACTGTCCTAGACCCAATGATCTTCAGTTTCTTTGCCAATGACCTTCCTGCCTCCTTAAACTTAGTGGGAAAGCAAGGCCTGGGAAACATCTAGCGTGGGACGATCAGTGGCAATTAGGATGGTGCCAGACAATGACCATCTCCAATAAAACAGAATCTGACCATCATCCTATGACATTTGATGGTACTCCATTGCTGAATCCTCTGCTGCCAATATTATGGGGGTTACCATTAGCCAGAAACTGAACTGGACAAACCATCTTTAATATTGCGGCCACAAGAGCAGATCAAAGGCTAGGAATTCTGCAGCCAGTCACTCACACTCTGTTTTCCCAAAGCCCATCCACCATCTACATTGCAGGAGTGTGATGGAATGCTCCCCACTTGCCTGGATGAGTGCAGCTCCAACATCACTCCAGAAAACAACATCCAGGAAAAAGCAGCCTGTGTCATTAACACAACTTCCATTGGTTTCAACATTTACACCCTTTACCACCGCACAGCGGCAGCAGTCTGTACCACCTACAAGACGAACTGCAGCAACTTACCCAGGCCCTTTTGAAAGCACCCTTCAAACTCACAACCTCTACCAACTAGAAAGGGCAGGGGAAGCCCATCACTTTAAGCCAAACTACACTGACTTGGAATGACATTGCATTTCTTCATTGTTACGGGCTTGCACGGCTGCATGATGGTTCAGTGGTTAGTACTGCTGCCTTACACAGGGACCTGGGTTCGATCCCAGCACTGGGTGACTGTCTGTGTGCAGTTTGCACATTCTCCCCATGGTTGTGTCCAAAAATGTGCAGGTTAGGTGGATTGGCCTTGCTAAATTGTCTGTAGTGTCCAGGGATGTGAATGCAAGGTGGGTTAGCTGTGGGGTTACAGGGATAGGGTGGGGATTCGGGTGGGATGCTCCTTGGAGGGTTGTGTGCAGACTCAATGGGCTGAACAGCCTCTTTCCACGCTGTAGGGATTCTGGATTAAAATCCTGGAACTCCCTGAGCACAGTAGATGTCATTATGTCCCGAGAAGTGCAGTGATTCAGGGAGGCAGCTCACCAAAGCCTGCTCCAGGGTGGTTAGGGATGGGGAGTAAATGTTGGCTGAACCGGCAATGCCCACGTCCCATTAAACAAATTTTAATTAGTGATTCAGGTCTGGAATGTGCTGTATATAAGTATGGTGGAGGCAGAATTAATTGTGGCTTTCAAAGGATAATTATCTGAAGAAATAAAAATGAGGGCAGCAGAAAACAGAAGGGGAGTGGGAGCATGTGAATTACACGTGCAGAGTGTTGACAAAGATACAATGGGCTGCACAATTACATCATAGAAGGAGGCCGCTCCATGAACATTTCCACAGCCTAACAAGTTTTAAACTTGTATTGTCAGGCTTTAGTTCAGTAACTTTTCCTCTTAGGTTTGCCAACTATGAATGTTACGCATGACGTTTTAGCTCAAGAACTCATCTACTTCTACGCGTCTGTCTTTACAATGGACCAACTTCCTATTACTATTATTAACCACTTTAAAGGTTCAGTCAACTGGTCTTTTCTCTTATACAGCAAACAAAAGTTTTTGAAGAAAATAGCAAAGACCAACATTAAATTTGGTAACCCTATGACTTTCCTCCTGGAGGCTAACGTTTCAAATCTGAGGGTGTTTCCGAAAATCCTGGAGGCTTGTAACCCTTTATCATTGCCCAAATGCAACTACCTAGAGTGAGGGTTTGCCAGGCTTGGGCAGATGGGAATGGCAGAAAAGTGAGGGGCAAATAAAAGAAGTTTTCTGCACTTTCAAATTACGAGCTGGACCAGCAGATTCTAAGGTGTGTGGGATTCGCTGACAATATCTCACATTACTGGATCGTGGTGATGTTTGGATTGGGACCAGAGGCAATAGCAGTGTAAAGGATTGGCATATTTCAGTTAGTTAGAAAGAAAGAAGGAAGGAAGGCGAGAGAGAGAGAGAGAGAGAGACAGTAAGAGAGACAAAGAAAGAGTAAAATAGAAAGAAACAAAAGTATCCAAATGTATAACTTTAAAAAGAAACATCCTGCATTTGCACAGGGTCTTACACAACCATGATCTGGAAGTCAATGAAATATTTCTGAAATATAGTCACTGCCATAATACAGGAAAGTCAACAGCTTGTTTGCATGTAGCCAGATCCTTGTCAGCAGCTTGATGACTATTAGTCAGGTTTTGTGATGCTGATAAATGTTGGCCAGGGCAGCAGGGATAACCCCCCCTCCTGCTTTTTCAAAACAGCCATGGGATCTTTCATGTTTGATTTCTCTGATTTCACTGAAATCAGTGCCTCGAACAGTATGACATCCCCTGAGTGCTGCAGTGGGCCATCAGGTCAAGCCCTGGAGTGGGAGTTGAACCAGGAACCCTTGATCCAGAAGGGTGAACACTGCCAACTGAGCCACAACTGCACCTCCATCGATGTGATTTACATTGAAAAGAATCTGAAATCAATCTAGGCCCTGGCGCTTTGTCCATAAGCTGTCAGAATGTTGGCTCATTGGAAGGGAAAAACACATCATTCACTCACGTGGAAGATGAAACACTGATTTTTTTTGTTGTTTTCTTTCTTTCAGGAAACTGAGAAACTTGAAGAAGAGAAGTCTGGTCTTCAGAAAGAAATCGCTGTGCTGCAGAAGGAGAAGGAGAAGCTGGAATTCATGCTGGTCGCCCACAAACCCATTTGCAAAATGGCACCCGGGAATGACTGCAGGAGACGCTCTCCGTCCCCCGAGCCACAGGCTGGACGGACGGCAAACACGGTAGTGGTCAAGCAGGAGCCGGAAGAAGAAGAATCGAAGTTGGCCGTGCCCAGTGCTGTGTCCAAAACGCAGAGGTCCGTCATCAAGCCGGTGACTGACATCTCCATAGCCAATAGCTACTTCCTGGAGGCTGAGCCCCTCAACACACCAGTGGTGGTGACTTCCACACCTGCAGCCAACATCACCCCATGTGCTGCCAGCCTGGTCTTCACTTACCCCAACGTGCCCAGCCTTGACCAAGAGCCCACTTCAGAGTCTTGCTCCAAGGCCCATCGCAGAAGCAGCAGCAGTGGTGACCAGTCTTCAGACTCCTTGAACTCCCCCACCTTACTCGCTCTTTGAGGAATGTGCTGGAAATTTCCCCCCTCCCGCCACCTCCACCTCTGTGGGAGATTGTGAGAGATGAAAACGGATTTTTGTTGTCTTGACCAGAGTTTGTGGGATCGAACTACTTCTAAACACTTCAGACTCACGGGGGGAGAGGTGGGCGGGGTGGGGGGGGGGGGAGGGGATGGTGTTTGGAGGGTGTGGGTTAGGGAGTGGAGAGGGTTGGAATCATTGTTTGGGGGAGGGGAGTGGGATAGGGGAGCAGGCCAAATAGTTCAAGCAGCTTGGATGTGGTGGCCATCGCTGAATGTAGACACTTACCAGTGGCATTCTGTGGGTGGCTAGTGGTCCGTGGCGCAGAGGGATGGGAGCGGGAGAACTGCAGCCATGTGGGAGCTGTTACCATGGCAACGCCCATTGGCAGGATGTTTAGGCCTTTCTGAACTGTCAAAGTCGACCAATACCAGGCAAAAGGAGAGGCCCACGTTCTGAACTCCATTTTTGAAACATGTTTTCCTGATTTTGTTTTCTTCCTCCAAGTCTTTACTATATGGGGAGATGTCAGTGATCCACATTGTATCACTTCGGTTCTGGACCGCAAGAGTTTTAGTTTTAAACTTTGTGCTATCTCCATTTTTGCAATTCTTTCATTGCTGACAGAGTCTATGATGGAAACCGCTCTCTAATGTGACATTCATGTCCTGTAAAGAACAAATTACTCTGTGACGCTTCTGAAATGCCTCAGTGATATTCGGAAAAAATTCTGCAATACTGGAATTGCTGTCAAACCTTGTCGGATTTCAGCATTAATAGAGCAAAAGAAACTTGTATCACAACGTTATGGTAGAATGATTATCTTGTGCCCTTCCAACCTCAACCGTATACCCTTCTGCCTTCTGACTTTAACTGTAGTATTTATATATTTTTTTTAAATTTAAGTGAGTAATGGAAGTAGACTGCAAAAGCTCCAAGTTGGAAAATGAAAGGATTGCAGACCTGATGAGGTCAGGGCAGGATGTGGGATTTTGGCTCATCTAAGATTTGCTCATCTACTGATAAGAGGAGGACTCGGAAAGCTGGTATTCATTAGTGTTAAGAGTAGTCCTACCTGTGTGCGCCGGTCGATTTGTGTATCTAAAGGTACATCAAGAACACTACTTCAAAGACAGTGGAACAGCCAGCAAAAGGACCATAATTGTGTCGGACCTCTTTGTGCAGAGTAATCAACACTCTGAATGAACTTATCCTTTGAAATGTGGGCTTGTCCTGATTTTGGAAAGGCCGTTGTTGTTTGCTCACAGACTGGACTGTGAGGCTTGTGACAACAGACTGCAAACATCTATTCTGGAGCATTGAAATGTGTTTATCTTCCCCCCAAAGGCTGGAAAATGTCCGACTTCTGTGAAACGTCACATTTTTGCTAATGACTGTGGCTAACAGGCAACATCCCAGGACGTTTTCCCTGTCATCAATAATGCGAGGAAAGTTTCTATGCAACATGGACCCATTTCTAACAATGGTACAAGCAGTCATTTGGGAGAACAGAGCTCTCACATTGCACGGAAAAAGACACTTTTTGACAAAGTTTTTTTTTTCTATCTTACACTTATCTGGACAATTTGCAAGAGTGCCAATGTAAAGAAACCAATGTTTTATACTAAGAAGAGAGTGCTAATCGATTGATAAGTGGATTCTGATTGGTAGATGCCTGGTTGTGTAGAGTGCATCAGTGAGATGACTGAAAGTGTCCTTTTTTTCTGCAATGGGGCACAGATTATTTTATTCCCCCATTACAACTGATGGACAGTAAGCCCATTTGTCTCTTTCCACCTTTGATGCTGGGCGATATGGATGCAGTAACCAGATGTTAAGAAGGGAGGGAGAGACATAGAACCTTAGCCTTGTCATCTTCCTGGCCCCAGTCACCACCAGATTGTCTGTTTGACTGGAATCACAAACTTGTTGGGGGTTAGTCTGCTTTAGTCCACTGATTTCCTGAGCAGACCCTGGCAGCAAACATGAAGCAGACATTTTCCAGCCTTTTGTTTATTTAAAACTTCCTCTTTGAACTATGTTTATGTTTTTTTTTTAGTTGTTTCCTGAATTAAAATTGACTGATCATAGTAGGAAATGTGTTTACCGTTCGAGCAGGTCTCCGATGAACTGTTGATTTTTGACAATAAAAGCGCTACACTGGTTTTATGTTGTACTAGCTGACCGCCCGTGACATTGTGCCCAGAGAGTGAGCAGGAGGGTAGGGTCACAGTTTGCTAGTGAGAGTCGAGGGACGGTGATGTGAGCGGACAGTACAGCATCATTCTCCCAGCTGGTTCGTTGTTCCACACAACATCCACAACCCAAGCTACAAATCTACTGTAAAACCGTAGAGTCATCAGTTTCCCATCTGGCCCAAAATTTTTACCAGTCCAAAGATGTGCAGGTTAGGTAGATTGGCCATGCCAAAATTGCCCATAGTGTCCATAGGGATGTGAAGGCTAGGTGGATTAGCTGTGGGAAATACAGTGATAGGGAGGGGGTGTGGGTCTGGGTGGGATGCTCTTCAGAGGGTCAGTGTGGACTCAATGGGCCGAATGGCCTGCTACCATTCTGTAGGGATTCTGTGATACCATAAAAACTCCCAGGAGCTGAGCAAAACGATGTTGCGGCTATGAACGTGACCTGCTTGATGGACTGTTCAGATAAATGGTCAGGCACGAATGGATTTCCGATTGATGAGTCATTCAGAGAAGGGCACACATTTGTCTTCGGTATTTCCCAGGTCTCCAGAGTAACTGTGGTTTTCACCACAACTTTTGGAAGTTACAGTGGCAGAGGAGGGGACTAAATGTCCAGTGAAATGCATTTTGCCCCACATTCAGGGCTTTTCACGTCATTTTGATTTCCCACTTGAGATTGAGCTGACCAGAGTGCCCCTAACGGATTGTGAGGGCTCCTGATCATCTTGGAGCTGTCATAGCCTGTCCCAATTTTCCGTGTTTCCGAGCGACTGATAACACTTCCATTTAGTAATGGCGTTTTCCTGATTACTATTTGCTCGAAAGCAGCCGCTGGTCTTTTGCTATTTTAAAAATTAATTCCAAATCTTTCTGATCCCTGCCAACTTAGACAAAGGGCCACTTTCTTCATGCTTTTACATTGCAAGATTTCCTATGGGATTGTTAAATCACAAAATAACCCTCATGCTTGGACTTCTTTCACCATCTAACCTCTGCATCAGTATTTATGAAAAATGCATTGCTAGGGGAATTCCTGACACCAAAACAGCTTGGGAAATTAAATGAAGGGCCATGATACAGGACATCGGCGAAGGCTATTGGGAGCAGAGTCACAAGAGGAGGTGGGTGGCATCAGGCTCGAGTTTTTATAAACCAAGAGATCCCAGGAGGAAGGGGGAGAGAATGAGGGAGGTGCGGAGTTCCGCATTGCGAGCTCCTGAGAGAGAACAAGGTTAGGAGATGATGCTATGATATTGGCTTTCAACAATGAAGAGAGGTGGTGGAAGTATGTGGCGGTGGATTTGAAACTTGGAAGAGACCAGCAAAGAGTTCAGAGGTGTGCTGATTGCATTAGCTTGGTATGTGTGGTCAGAGAGAAAAGGCAATGAGAAATGTTATGATGTGGAGGGAGATATTACCGTCTGAGCTGTACACTGGGAAACTCAGCAGGATGTACATCTTTTTTGATGCAGAGTCATTTGAAAACCTACTGAAGGAAGTTTCACTCAATGGCTCACTGAGCACCTTTAACCTTATTTGGGGGCCTCGTGCTTATACTGAATGGCTGCTGTTAGCTGGGACCACTTGCTACATGTTGCTGTGTTGGACGATAAATCAACACTTGATGGGCCAAATGATTTGTATTCACTTAGCCTTGTGTCCTTACTGGATCAAACATTACTCATGCTTGCTGCTGTGGGCAGGTCAATTTGAGACCATGAGCTAAGTCTTTCAGTGAATGCTTAGATCAGATTGGGTTTTAGTTCAGAGAATTGCAGTTGCAGGATTAAGGAGGAAACGCACAAGAAAAAGACTACAGAAACAGAAGTGCCTCTATTTCAGGTTGATTTGAAGGAAGAATTTGTTGAAATTATTTTTAAAAATTATTTTAAAAATTCTTTTAAGGTAGGTGACCAATCAGAGTAGTACAACATCAGAGACCAGATTATAGTTGCTACTTTGCATGTTTACAGATATTTACACAAATTGACCCATGAAAGAGATGACAATGAAATTCAGCATTTCAGTACTGTATGTCCACAATAAAGAGATCTTACGTCCATTAGTACAGGTTCAGTATGATTTAGATGATATACCTCGCTCCTGAGAGATGGGTAACAGAGATAAAGAAGCACAGTGAAGGTTGGAAAGGCATGGAGAGAAAAATTACTGGAGACACAAAGTGGGTCAGTCAGCATCCAAATGACAGCTGTTAGACCTTAATTCATCTCAAACTTTCATTATATCATCCACCTCTAGGCTGAAGCTGTACAAATGTGTAAAGTAATGCAGAGTCAGCAGTATAACTTGGTATTCCCACTACACTGAACTCTTAAGGCTCATTGCTGGAATTAAATTAGTACTGCGTAGTATGAAAGGACAACAAGGGATGCCAAGCCTGAGTAGATTGAAAGCCAAGACTTCTCAGGAATGTTGTATCATGGCAGGGCCAAAAGAGGTGATAAACATCGAATGGCCTAGTATCCTATTATAAATATTTCAGGGAGATTTTGATTGGGAAACATTTGATTTTAGTATGAATTTTTCGAGAAAGTCCATCTTTTTAGGATATGGTCTTGTGATAATTCGGTGCAGTTGGTGAAGGACAGGCTCATAGCTGTGGTCCTGTCCTGTACTTAGAAAGGATCGGGAGAGATGGCAAGGCAAGTCAAATGGTGGTTTGATCGAGCCATCTTTTTATTTTGATTTTAAAAAGGCTACAAGTGATCAGAAGAGTGAGACAGTTGAGGAATCCCACAGGTTTGTGATCTTGATTCGGAATGAGTTATGAGGAAGAGAATCCAGGAAGTTTAATTTCTCCACAGATGAAGATGTGGAACATAGCAAAGGTCTGATTTTAGGGTCAGGTCTCACTACAATATACAGAGGAATTAATAGTGAAACCGGAGAAAATGGAAGGGACTTTAACTAGGCCTAAAGTCGAGTGATATGACTTCCCTGGAGGTGTATAAATGCTGTGCTGGATGGACTGGGCATAAGTAACGATTATAAGGCAACAAGACTGAATGCAGTGAAAGCATTGAGATCTACAACCTATCTCACAGGGACCATGATAAGAATTGTAAATCTGTATGATTAACTGTTCTCTTTTTTTTAAAGAAAATATGAATAATTGTTTAAAAAAGTCAGTCAGGTCTACTTTTGCTATTCAAAATTGTATGTGTCAGTATTTATTAAACAACAAATCAATATTTTAGATTATTGCTGTCTTCTGAACCAATACAGATCATATGCCTCGATGTACTGAGATGTTGCACACACACTTTGATCTATTGCCAGAAGTAAAGTTTCAGTTTTACACACTGTCACAGAAATAGATTACATTCGAATTGGGATTCAGCTATCCATGGAAGCAAATTGTTAACCTATCAAGAATTTTTTTGCTGAATTGTGATGGATTGCATCAAACAAAGACAAAAATGCACGGCAGATGTAATATAGAATTAATACAGAACAGGCCCTGTGGCCCATTGAGTCTGCACTGGCAAAAAAACTGCTCTAAGTCTACATCTGTCCCATTTTGCAGCACGTTAGATGTGTTACGACAACTCAAGTGTTCTTCCAGGAACTTTTTAAAGGTTGTGAGATCTCCCACTCAACTACCCTCCCAGGTAGTGTATTCCAGACCCCCTACCACTCTCTGGGTAAAAAAGTCTTTCCTCAAATCCCTGCTAAACGTGCCCTTCACAATAAAATTATTGACTCTTCAACTAAAGGAACAGCTGCTTTCTATCCAGCCTGTCCATGCATCTCATAATCTTGTATATCTCAAGCAGCTCCCCTCTCAGTGTTCTCTGCTCCAAAGGAAACAACCTGTTAACCTGTTCAGAGTTCTATTGTCAAGCATCCCAACATCCTTCTGTTCGTCTGAGCTTCCTCATGTCCTGCTATTCACTTGAGTTGTCCCTGGTTACTTTCTTTATCAGTTTCCCATGTGGGACTTTGCCTTGATGTCAGGGACAGTCACTCTCACCTCAGATCTGGAATTCAGCTCATTTGTCCATCCTTGAACCAAGGCTGTAATGAGGTCAGGAGCTGAGTGTCCCTGGCAGAACCCAAACAGTGTGTCACTGAGCAGATTATTGCTGAGCAAATGCTGCTAGATAGCACTGTTCCATCTTTCCATCATTTTCCTGATAATTGAGAGTACACCAAGGCAACAATAATTTGCAAGAATGGATTTGCCCTTCTGTGTCCAAGACACAGCTGGACAATTTTCCACATGTCAGGTAGATGCCAGTGTTGTAGCAGTATTGGGACAGGGGCATGGCAAGTTCTGGAGCACAAGTCTTCAGTATTATTTCAGGGATATTGTCAGAGCCCATAGCCTTTGCAGTATCCAGTGTCTCCAACTGTTTCTTGATATCACAGGGTGAATCAAATTGGCTGAAGACTGGCATCTGTAACGTAAGGGACTTCTGGAGGAGGCAGAGAAGGATCATCCACTTGGCACTTCAGGCTGAAGATTGTTGTAATTATTCAGCCTTATCCTTTTGCACCGATGTGCTGGGCTCTTCCATCATTGAGGATGGAAATATTTGTGGAGCCATCTCCTCCAGTGAGTTGTTTAATTGTCCACCACCATTCACGACTGGATGTAGCAGGACTGCAGAACTTAGATCCAACCCATTGGTTGTGGGCTCGATTAGCTCTGCCTATCACTCACTGCTTATACTGTTTGGCAGACAAGTAGTCCTGTTTGGGGGCTTCACCAGGTTGACACGTCATCTTCAGGTATGCCTGGTGCTGTTCCTGGCATGCCCTCTTGCACTCTCTATTGAACCAGGGTTGATACCCTGGCTTGATGGTAATGGTTGAGTGGGGTATATGCTGGGCCATGAGTTAACAGATTGTGCTGGAGTACAGTTCTGCTGCTGTTGATGGCCCACAGTGCCTCATGGATGCCCAGTCTTGAGTTGTTAGATCCGATCATAGTTTGTCCCATTTAGCACGGTGATAGTGCCACACAACACGATGAACATTATTCTCAATGTGAAGGTGGGACTTCACCACGATAAGGACTGTGCGGTGGTCACTCTTACCGATACTGTCATGGACAGATGCAACTGCAGGTGGCAGATTGGTAAGGATGAGGTCAAGTATGTTTTTCCCTCTTGTTGGTTCCCTCACCACCTGCTGCAGACCCAGTCTAGCAGCTATGTCCTTTAGGATCCGACCAGCTTGATCAGTAGTACTGCTGCCGAGCCACTCTTGGTGGTGGACATTGATAGCACCTGTACAGAGTACATTTTGCACCCGTGCCACCCTCAGTGCTTCCTGTAAGTGGTGTTCAACATGGAGGAGTCAGCTGAGGGAGGACAGTACATGGTAATCAGCAGGACATTTCCTTGCCCCAGTTTTACCTCAAGCCGTGAGACTTCATCAGTCTCAGAGTTAATGTTGAGGACTCCCGGGCAACACCGTCGTGACTGTATACCACTGTGCCCGTACCTCTGCTGGGTCTGTCCTGCCAGTGGGTCAGGACATACCCAGGGACAGTGGTGTCTGGGAAATTGTGAGGTATGATTCCATGAGGATGACTGTGTCAGGCTGTTGCTTGACTAGTCTGTGAGACAGCTCTCCCAATTTTGGCACTAGCCCCCAGATGTTAGTGAGGAGGAATCTGCAGGGTTGACTGGGCTGTTTCTGCCATTCTCTTTTCTGATACTTTAGTTGAGCTAGGTAGTCTGTCTAATTTAATTTCTTTTTGAGACTTTCTGGTGGTTGATACAACTGAGTGGCTTGCTGGGCCATTTCAGAGGGTGATTTTTTATTTCTTCTTCTGTAGCTTATGTTTCCTCTGCCTTCTAGACTAGTCATTTTTTAATTTCTAATTCTATCTCAGCTTCTGTCCTCTCTGTCAAGATCCCATCCCCCTGCCGATGTTGTTTAAATTCACCCCAACAAGGTGAGCAAATTTCCCCATAAGAATGTTGGTACAATTTGTTTTCAGATATAATCCATCACCTCCCCCAGAAATGGGGCCCTCAAGAATCTAAAGCCCTCTCTCCTACACAATCTCTTCAGGCACATGTTCATCTGCTCTCTCTTTCTATTCCTGTACTCACTATTGTGTGGCTCTGAGAGATCATTACCTGTGAAGTCCAACTTTTCAATTCGCTTCCTAATTCCCTAAAGTCTGTTTACAGGATCTCGTTTCTCTTTCTTCTTAGGTCATTGTTCCATATGTGGACAGTCAATGATACTGTCACTGTGTTCTTACCTCTTCCACTCCTTTTAGTGGCGCTGACTGCCTGTCACTGTGACCTTGTCTGCTCCTCTGAGTGAACAGTTCCATAGTTTATCATTAAAGTTTTAATTCAATACTTTTATTGAATTCAAATTCTATCATCTGCCATGGCAGAATTTGGACCTTGATCCCTAGAACACGACCTGGGTCTCTGGATTAATAGCCCAGTGATAATATCACTGGGTAATAATGCCTATTTGAAGAGGTGGTGTAGATATGATAGGCTGGAAAGTCTCTTTCCCGACAAAGGGTTTCGGCCCGAAATGTTGACTTCCCTGCTGTGCTTTTCTAGCTCCACATTTATTGACTCTAACTTCCAGCATCTGCAGTCCTTACTGTCTCCAAGCCTCTTTCTATGCCATTAAAATAATGTTTCTCTGTAAGCTGCATGGGTCAGAACAGCAGCCTGTCTTAGGTCTAAAAGAAGAATGGTCCTAAACTTGCCTATTGCTTCCCGAAGTAATCCAGGAATGTTCATGAGTCATCTTTTGAATTCAATGATGTCATCCCATTGAAGCCATGGCTGGAATCCTATAATTCAGAGCAGGCTAAAGGTCTCTGGCCTCCACTACAATATCACATTCACTGTGATTAATCAGCGATGCTGAAGTCTTGATAACTAAAAAATGACACATTGTTAACTCATTCAGCCCATCATACCTCTGCCATCTCTTTGATGTTGCTATCCAAATAATCTCACTCCCCTGCTATTTCTTCACAGCTCTTTATCCAGTAGTCTTTTGTAGGTTACTATTGTTTCTGCTTCCACAATCCTTTCAGGTCCCTGCAGTCTGTTATTATCCTTCGCATTGCTTTTTTTTCCATTCCCCACTGCACCCAAGAGGGCTCAGCAGCAATGTTTATGTTTGCCCCAAATCGCCCGAGGTTGTGTGTGTGTATATAAAGGACTTTATCTGATAATTTTTCCACCACCAGGAAAGCACCCACGTGCCTAATTAAACATGACCCAAGCAAAGTCTGTTGAGGGCAATGCTATCATGAAAAAATGAATGGTGAGTTATAAAGACAAGGAGGGGCTAAATCAAAATGGAGTTAGAGGGGTAAATAAAACACTCCATTCCACCTCTCCCTAAAGGCATTGACAACATTGTTGGACGAACACGCTCTGCCTCTTCAATGATACCCAGGCTGGAACGGAGCTGTGGAAGACAGGCAGTTGGCAGCGATGACCGCCTCTCACAACAGCCCGCTGCCTGGACCTGTTTATAGCCAGCTTGGCCAGGCCAATTGGCAGCCTCACGAGGAGGCCCTCCCATCTACCCACACCCCTCCACGCGGAGTGCACAAAGATCAGGAGAGTGGGGCTGGAGTGCAACCAGAAGCACAACAGAAGGTTTCTCAAATAACTATAAAGGGAGTGCAGGTGCCCACAACTAATATATACGTCGTCCACAGACTCCACAGTACTGCAAAATAAGCAGATGGGCTTGGAGTCTGCGAACCACCACAATCCACGGTTACAAGGGACTACCGTGTGCAACACCTTCCAGCCCAGGTCCCCGAGATGGAAGACAGAGGACTCCCATGTGGAAAGCCCTCCACCAGGGGAACCCTGCAGTGTGGTGAAAAATAAGCATGCCACCATATATCCAGGAGGTGGGTGTAAGAGTCGAGCCGGACGGTGCACAGCAGCAGTTTGTACAGGAATCACTGCTTTGCCTCCCTAACAAAAACACAACAAATACTGAGGAGCTGGCTCAGGTTGTGGGGCACAGGTTCGTTGGGGAGGTTTAGGACCGATGTGAAATCTCATTGGGGCAGGGGTACGCACGGATGGGATCCCACCGCGCACCCGAGCATCGTCCAACTGGTGCATGACGTGGGCTCCAAGCATTGCCGTTTCTGGCGTTGGACGGCACTGGCTGTGAGTTGGATGCCCAGCTGCTGCACTGTTTGCCAATTCCTGTGGCAACATCGAGCCTAGG